TCATCATCTAGGGACCCAGGAGATGTACCAATTCGATATCAAGTTTTAGCTTTAATATTACCTAAAAGGTGTCTTGCAATAACTATTTATTTTTCTATCCAAGGTACTGACAGAGTACCACATCAATTCTGTTCACACTTATGAATAGTAATGCATGAATTGGGTTTCCAATGTTCCAATCTTTATATAAAGCATGAACACATGAACTTAAGATCTCTTCATGTTTCTCCTCTTACTTGTAACATATTTAGACACAGGTTCCGTTGGCGCTGCACTCTGTGCCTGCCTATATTTGGAAAAAGGTAAACAGCCTGCAGCTCTGTTTTGTCCTGATAAAGAAGTCAGGCCTATCAGGAGCAGGATTTCACGGCCTAGTTGATGATGTGCAAAAATGTGTTCAAGTAACATACCCTTGAAGGCTTTTCTGAAGCACTGTGCCCTACATTTGATTTGTGATTGTGCTTTCAATAATTGTTTTTGTTATGTCCCAAACCTCCTCTTTCTACCTGCCTGTTTAACTGCAGCACTTTGCCATCCTCCTGAAGTATGTCATCCATGTGGCCATCCCTGACATTCCTACATGGGTCACAGAAGAGATGGCTAAACTGGATTATCAGCGCAGGGAAGCCTTCAAGGTAAATATGTGACAGCATTAGAACCAAAAATTGTAATTTGTCGTGAAAAAGTTGCAAGAAATTAAAGGAATCCACTAATAATACAGGCTGTTTGAATAAATGCTCAAAGTTGACTTTATTATGTGCAGAGTTCTGTAATGTAAAAGAATATATTGCAGTAACCACCAGAGGTGCCCACCTTTCTGCTGCATACCAGCTGTACTGCAACACTGCAGCTTTTTTTGGACATATTTGTTTACTTTAAACTGATATTTTAGCAATGATATTTTAGAGAAAAACAATGTGTAGAACAATGAGAAGAGATTAGGATATAGTGGAGCTATACAGTAGTAATGCAGAATTCTTAGTAAGGGATTTGTTCTAATGGTAGCACTGCAGTATTGTAATGTGTCGCTAGGTTAGTGCTGAATCTGGTAAATGCATTATGGGACTGTTTCCCTTCCTCTGCAGAAGCATGAGCGACAGGCGCAGCAGCATTACCAGCAGCTGCAGAGGAGGAAGAGGGAGGAGGAGGAGAGGCAAAGGCAGGCAGAACATATGGCCCGCAGGGAAAGGGAGAGGGACGAGAGCAAGGGCGACTCCTCTGGGGATCACCACCACGATAAAAGTCACAGCAGTAAATCACGCTCTGGAGGAGGGTCCGGCAGCGGCTCGGACAAACCCAAGAGGCCCAGCTCTCTGTTGGCCAACAACAACGTGATGAAGCTGAAACAGATCATCCCGCTGCAGAGCAAGTTCTCCTCGAGTGGCGCCCGCTCACCTCAGTCACCCACTGGAACTGAGCCCAAGCTGCCCGGGTTCCTGAGTTTCAAATTCCTCAAATCACCTGAGAGTAAGAAGGAAGTCGCCGCTGCTTCTGCCGCTGCAACCACAGCAGCAAATGCCTCAGCATCATCGTCATCATCAGGTAGCAGCTCTCAGGAGCGTTCTCAGTCACCCAGCAAAGCCTTCAACCCTGGGAAACTGTTTAACTTTGGGAAATCTGAGGGGGGGACCTGTGTGAACGGGGCTGTGCTGCTCAGACCCGGGGAAGGATCATCCTCACAGGCGTCAGACAGACAGCCATCCAGGTCTGACTTGAACGGTGTTCCAGACGAGATCCCCTCGCCTGGGGGGGAAGGGTCAGAGAACGGACATGCAACAGACTTGGACCCGAGCAGCTCTAAAGTCTAGTAGCTCCGGAGAGAACAGACCTGGTCGCTGGTTACATCTCCACAGCAGAAGTGATGGGTTCACTGTGAGGAGACGCCTGACCTACCTTCTATGCTATCACACACTATGTGTAGAGGTACTTGAAGCAGAGAGAGGACAAAATGAAACGGATGATAGGTGACTTGTTTAGGTTTTCTTTTTTGAGGAGGAAAAAAAGACAGGCTTTATAGAAAGACATAAGCCCTCTTATCATGATTAAATAAACACACACAAACACACACACCCTACACAGACATACAAATCCTTCCTTGTCTGCAATACATAAAGAAATGCATGTGCTGCGTTTCCAATATTTTTAAGCCTTTAAAGCGAGGAGCTGTGTTTCTTGATTTCTTCTAGTCATGAATTGTAAGGATCTCGTTGACCTCTCACTAGCACGTAATAGCCCGTTGAAGGAAAAAAGATATACAAATATCAACAGTGGTACGAAAGGATTACAGATTGTACTTCAAATAACTTCTGAGAGTGTTTGTAGCCGTCACAACACAAGTGACCATTAGCTTTCGTCTAATTTTTAACTGTGAGGAATTCTTGGGCCCTTCACTTTTATATTGAAGTGAAAAAAATGGAAAAAGCAATATTGGTCAGTTATAAATATTATCATCAATTATCACGCGACTCCTCCATTAATTACATCCCTGATGCATCACCAGCTTTATTTTCAAAGCAGAGGTGATGTCTGAGCTCTGAACATTTCTTCCCATCCTGTGACAGTGAGCTGATTATTTCAAAAAAAGAAAGAACTTTGTCAAGCTGTCACATACCAGTATGTTACCATGAGACCATTGGGAAAAAAAGCAAAAGCAAAAAAAGAATGTGCAAAATGGCTGTTGAGGGCTGTTCTCCATCCAAGCCCATGGAGAGCCTTGTAAACACAGATGGGGCTCCATTGCAATCAGTCTACCCCAGACTTGGCTAGCGAGCGTAGAGGTAAAGAAGTCACTTTTGCACTGAACCTTAAGCCCTGCATTAAAACAACTCGTTCTGCAGGAGAGAGGACTGACACCAGCCTGCCTCATAACATTATGCAAAAGCTGGATTTTTTTTAATTCCTCCTTTCACACGGTACATGTTATCTAATCGCCTGGCCCTGTTTTTTTTTCTACAGTTGTTAATATTATTTATGTTGAGCCCCATATCTCTTTTTATACACACCATTTTCTGCATTCTTTCAGCATTGCAATGCTGACGATGGAAGTTTTTATTTTTGAACAAAGGCGGTATTTTTCAGTCTATACTGTTAACCCAAGCTGTATGCGTACTGTATGTTCTGTTAAACAACATGTACATCAACACTGTTCCATCTACCATTAACAGGTATTTCACTTCTGCTGGGTCAACAGAAGGTGGCGCCAGAGTTTATTTGTATAGCAAAACATTTTTGTTAGGCAGCTTCTGATGTACTATTGACCCCTAACACCAGTGTCTAGTCATCAGTATACATCGGTCAACAACATTAGGCTGCAGATTAGGGAAGTCTTTGCAAGGAAGATGTATCATGGTTACATTTGATTAGGTACGCACTGATAAACGTTTAGAGGCCATCAGACTAGGTTGAGACAGAAACATTAACTATGCATTTCCACACCATCACCTCTGGCTAGGATTTTGGCAATAACACTGAGTTGTAAGAGACTTACTTGTACTCCAAGTCTAGACTCCCTCACCTGCAGCACATATCCTGCAGCACTCATCCTACATACAGCATCATCCCCTACCAGACTATATGCATTGTTTCTTTCTGTCCCTGCAATGTCCACTGTCAGCTCTCTCAGTTTTGCTCTTTCTCAGATTTTATAAGAAATCTTCCATGACTCAAAATGAGGTAATAAGCATAATCTCATCCTTCGTTTACAGTGTCTAGTCTAGGAGTAAAGTTGACATTGAGCATCAAACAGTTTGTGTATATTTTATGTTGATGCTAGTCATGCGTCTGTAATTTCTCGAGGAGTATAGTCCAGCTTTAAGTCAAATGCCTAAAGAAAACACAAAAAGTACTTCCACATAGCTTACTGACTTTCAATGCAATAAGGAAATAGAAAGGGCATCAATTTCGTGTTCACAGTATCACTTCACTGTCAATCTACAGCATGTTCCTTTTTTATATTTGGAAGTCATGGCTCATTATAGATGTAACTTGAGAGGTGCAAGGCTGAGAGATATGTGATATCTTCTATCAAAGACAGGCTGGTCATTGTTAAAGGGACGCATGGTAGAGAACAGGATGGGGTAGTAGTCTCATCCAAACCTTTATTCCTGCAGCATTTGGATTTCAGGGCTGAGTGACATTATGATGCAGTACAGTCCATTTATTGTTGTTTCAAAGTTTGTGAACTTCTGTATTGAAAATAAGAAGACAATTTATAAGCAGAGGTGACTCAAATGAGAAAGCGGAGAAAAGAGCAACAGTTTAGGTCCTTCCTCGATGTTTGTAGTTCCTCCTTATTCAGGGAAATCTTACAATTCAACTTCATACACTACATACTTCCTCCAGGTCGGTTAATGCTATCTATTCATATCTGATTTAATCTTTGCATTCTTAACGGCAGCAACTGCAAATTGTTAACATGGAGGTTCTTAAATACACATTGAAAGCTTGACAGACAGCACTGGGCCAAGCACAGGCTTCTCTTACATAAAGACACTAGCTCAGACAGGCCAAACTTATAAACTGTCTGTAATTCACTTTCAATGCAACAGCGTTTTTTGTAGGATTTCTGTTTGTGTAGACAGTCTAATGTGAAACCAGTAGGAAAAGACTGAATGTAGTCATTGTACTTCTTGTGCTTGGGAACGGATGGGTTTCTCATTAAAAAACATTAAAACCTGACCCGAACATCTTCATGAAAGCCTCACTTACTGAACACCGTTTGTTCTTCCAATGAACCACTGTAAAAAAAATATCTTTTAAGAAAAATACTGGGAAATGGGATTATTTATTTCTTTTAATTTATTTTGTCATATTTTTGTAAGACCTGAACAATAGTTAATAAAACTATTTCAAATGCATTTCATGTGTGTTGTGACCAAGTTATTTCAAAATCCCAACTGCACATTCTTCATTCACAATACATTTTAGGTATGAGAACATCCTTTAAAACCAGCATTTAAGACGTGTGATCACCTATTAAAGTACCACATGACGAGAAAAACCCAATTTCAATCCAGTTTTATTTCAGCAAGGTTTAAAGAACATATCTGATCTAACACATGAGAATGGGGCAATGTCAGGGTTGTAGACTGTCTATTTGAGTACAAGCATAATGTGGGTTTTGCTTCAGAAACGGACTGCTGTGGGTAGAAAGATGACTGACCACACTGTTAAACCAACATTGCAGCACTGACTGATAAAAGCACAGGAAGGACAGGAGGCTTTGATGCGAGTCTGCCAGGCAGTGATGTGTTTTTGTTCAGTGTTGTATAGTATATGATACCAATACAAACTGAAGCTCGGGAACAAGGCAGGATGGCGACTGCACTTTGCTGTGCATGCTTTTTGTGCATTCTATGGCTGAAAATATAATCCACCCCCTGGTTTCATCTAAGCAAGCTCTCAGACAAAAAACATCCAGGGCTGTCACAAAGACAGGGCGACGAGTACAGCTATCCCATGTTGAAATGTTGTAAGGCCTCTAGGCTAACACCTTATACAGTCACGCAAGATAACACCACAGCCCCTTTTATTACTGATCCAGAAGTATAATACCCAGCTGTGAAAACATCAACATGCAAGGCCAGGTAACATCCATTGGGCACCGGGGCTCTTTACTTTCAAATCGGTAATTTTCTATTGTGTCCATGGGCATGTTTTATTTTACAAAAAGGCCAACACATACATATTTCATTGGATACTGTCAACTAGTTCTGGAACTGACAATTATTTACACACATCATTTTTTATTTTATCCCTTTTCCAGACATTGCTTTCCATAGTTTTTAAATCACTGTCTGAGCTGTTACCTCGTTGTGCAACTAAGAAAAACAAACATTAGAAATTGTACAACTATATATTTAAGATCGTTTTAAGGTTATTCTTCTTTTGATGAAAGAGAAGCTGAAACTCACAGAAAAACCTATTCCTACTAGGCTCGAATAGCCAGAAGGTGGTGCTAGATGTAAACATATTTCACCAACACAACATTTACTCTACGAGCACGTCCCGGAATAGAATGAAGATATGAATGTTTCACCATGAACACACATGTACAGGGATTCTGGAAGAGTTGCTTCTACTTTGTGCTGATCTTCACAGTGAAGTCTTGGTTCTGTTGAATCAAACAGTGTGGAGAAACCTCGCAATGCCCCCATGTGGTCGCAGAGTGGGCAGTGAAACTGAGAGGGTGGGCACTGTGGCTGGCAGGAAGCTCATTGCCATACATAAAAAATTATAGGTATAACAGATTAAAACGTTTTCTTTGCACAAATCAGGACTCTTCAGGTGACAGAAGGCTACACAAGTCATGTACCAGTTTTGAGACTGTTTTTAAGGGTAGTGTCTGACTTGATCTGTCCAGTCCCTCTCTGATCTTAAATCTACTCGGACACTTTTCATTCACTTCACACATACTGTACACACTCACAGCTCAGCATGCATACAAACATTTTATAACCTACACAGAGAATAGCCAACATAAATGAAATAAATGCCAGTATTTAGTTTCCAACTGACAGACGCTTTCCAATCTTTTCTGGTTACATTGTTTTCACACATGCAATCTTTACACCATAAATGGCTCCTTTGTTGAAAGATGGGAGATTCGAATTCAGGCAAGGAAAGAAATCCTGCCATAATGCAGAACGACTAGAAGTATTTAATTCACTGGGAACACTGTTTGGTTGGTTTATACTGGCTATACTCTGTGTATGCAAACACACACTCACACACAGTTTTATGAGTCTTCGTTCATCTCTTGACTATCTGTCCTGGCGATTTTCCTTGGGGGTGCCGGACTGTCACCCTCACCTTGTTCCTGTTCCCTTTTCTTTGCTGCATTCTGTGTGACACAAAGGATTACACAGCAGTCAATAAAACAATTAAAACAAATATTTAGCTGTCAAAAAGCTACCTGACTAGACTAAAGACCAAACATGACGAGGCTCTTGATGAACTGAGTTCTAAAAGAGACTGTTAGTGAGTGAAGCTACTTTCATAAAATGAACTCCAAGGGACTACACATGCTCACCTTTTTGTCCCACTGCTGATGGAGATAACGCAGGAGAATGTTGGTTTTCTCTGTTACAATAACTGTAGAACAAACAAAGTCAGCATGTTACCGAAAAAGGTATGAGAAAAGCTATTTTAGATTGCAGCTTCCACAAATAGTGCATGTAATGAAACAACATCACTGATCAACTACTGATAAACAAACAGCCTTAATGTGAAAAGAGACCCAGACTTTTCCCTCACAGTTTTGACTTAGCTGTAAGTTTGGTACTTACTCTGTTCAGAGGGGTATTCTCGTGTTGGGAGGTACACAGAGGGCCTTCGATTCTGTGAAACAAAACAGAAAAAGGTTATAGATTACAGTTGTGGGGTCAAATTATAAATGTGTGTGTATTATTTAGTTAAGGTGTTTTGACAGTGTATGGGCACACTTTTAGACAATTCCTAGCTTGTTATCCATAAAAAACATTCATAGCATTACTATTGACAGTCTGAGGATATACATATTACCATAGGCTACTTACAGATGCTTTACAAACGGAGTCTGCATGAAACCTGCTGAAGTTGCTCTTATTGTAGACGGGAAGTCCTTTCAAGAAATCAGCCTGTGGGAAGAGAGTGAGGTGATGATGATTATACCCAGTGTTTCCATCATCTTGCATTTAATTTAACCTTAAAGACGGCTTGCCTCAGTTTTGTCTGCCAAACATATTCTATATTTAGAAAACAGGCTGTGGCCATTCATAACAACAATCCAAATGCTCGATTGGCATTAGTGACAAGAGTTTGCTAATACAAGTGTGAGATAGGCGGAGGGTGGTAAGAAACACAGATGAGGAGCACATGAATGAAGACCGAGGATTACTATCAGTGAGTCGGGGTTGGGCGTTCCCTCATCTGAGGAGCACGCTCAAGGGCCTACTGCTCTCCCTGTGCCCAGCAGGAGGTGGTGATATCAGAGAGTATATGCAGCAAGTGGTTTCAAATGCTGAGCTGAGCCGCTCAGGGAACAACAAGAAGCCGGCTTGTCCTCGGTGAATGAATGCCAACAGGAGAAGCAGGTGTAGCTAGCAGCTATCTGTTACCTACAGTTAGCTAGCTCGGTATTACCATATAGCCTTTGAGAGCTGTACGCTTAAGATAATGTAACAAGGCTGGCGTATGTGGACAAAATACCTTCTCCATGGTGATGGTAGAAATTTCCAACGTCGAAACGCCGACTTTTGGTCTTGAGTGGCTGTCTGATGGCAGGCAGTGTGAGTGTGTTACGATTAGCCGCGCTAGCTTACAGGCTAGTTATCCGAGACAGCTGTCCAGATAGGGTGCTCCCGGCAAAGAAAACAACAACCTTCAAACACCAGTGGTTGTTTCCATCTTAAATCATAGTGTCCATGAAAAACTTAAACAACACACAGAGAAAGTAACCCGGAATGTAATTTCATGAGTTAGCAAAGCTTAATGCAAAGGACTTCTTCAGCTAACATGATGGCTGGATGGTAGCGATGCATCATTGGTCACGCCCTGAAAGTTCCAATTGGTCTATCCCCATATATCCCACGTGGTAAGAGCTTGACCTGACAGCCAATCATTGAACACAATAGATTTTAGCCCCTCCCTAAAACATTTACTCGGGAATACTGGTTCCCCACATGATGAGCCTTATTATAAAAATAATACAAGAACAAGAACTATTACTTCAGTGCTGTACTCAAATGTGAGGTACTTACTGGAGTGTTTCCATGTCATGTTACTTATACTTCAACTCCACTACATTTAACATTTAACATTTTACATTCACCTCTGCCCACTTTGACAACCTAGGATGGCTTAGAGTAGACGACAGAGTACAGCTACTTGCAATGGGCCTGGTCTACAAGATCCACTACACCTCTATGGTACCCATGTACATGTCAAAATTCTTCCCAAAGGTCAAGGAATACCATGATCATAACACCAGAGGGAGCTCCACAAATCATGTAAACCCAGATTTGGCACAAAAAAGGGGAATACACGTTTCGCAATTATGCCACATCAAGGTGGAACGCACTTCCCACAACTGTAAAGGAAAGTAAAACTATACTTACCTTCAAAACCTCTCTTAAAGAGCACCTTCGGGGGAGAGCATTGCAAAACTGGCCCCGGTAATGGTACAAATCCCAACCTGTCGTACAATGGACAGCTTCCCCCCCCCCCCCATCTATGTATATACTCGTATTTTAGACTCTGTTACTAACTGTATATCTGTAGACTTGGTATGTCTTAAATGTCCGGTTAGGATGTATTAGAACGAAATCTAAAATGAAAATTGTAAATAAGCCACCTGTAAAAAACCAACTGTATGTAAATTGTAAATAAGCCATCTGTATGTCAAATATGTCTTATATGTCTTAAATGATATGATGAATTGGAAATGGGGGACCCTGATGTAAACAAGACGAAAGTCTTTCTCTGGTCTGCATCCCCTTAACAATTGTATGTTTTGAGCTGTACTGTACTGTACCCAATATACAAGCTGTTAATAAACTTTTCAATCAATCAATCAATCAAACAGTAAATCCTCTAGCATACTTATGCAGCATTAGTTACCATATCTTTGTTTTCCAGTGATCTGCAAATTACTTGATTTTGACTTTGAATATTTCTGATAAACTGAAGGGTGACATGTTCCTTTTAAGGATTACATTTCTCTCTTGATTAGATGCAAAATGCTTTGGGTGTACTGATCTTTCTCTCTGCAAACACGGTTCTAAAACTGCAATTTGGCTTCTATCGTTTTTATTTTAAGTAATATGTTTTTGATTCCTTTTTTTATGTAAATTGTGGCATAGGCTATTTTTAGCCATCTCTCTCAAAACTACAGTATTACAGTATCAATGTCAACGTATACTGTTTTTACGACCATCACATTATAAAAAAGGTACACTTTAAATTGACCTAAGTTTTTGCTGCTGGAGAAACACTTAACATTATAACTAGTTCAGTGGTTTGCTGCCTCCTGCCTCCTGGACTCCTTGCAAATAATTCCTTAGCAACAACAGCCATGGCAACAGCCTCAGCAATAGCTCCCATGATGCTGGAGAATAGGTTGCTGATAAGATGGAGGGAAGTATTCAATGTTTTAATTACATTTTGAGGAGATTCATGTTAAACAGACATCAAACATGAAAATAGTATAACAATAACTTACTAGGAGAAGATGGATGCATTTCCTTCCTTTGTCTTTCTGACTTCATACAACTCCAAAACAAATCTTGCAAAATGCTTCAAACTAAATTAAAAGTTAAAATGAACTTTTTTGTATCACATATAGCCGGACTTAAGAATGAACAACCACATTTAAAGGGAGAAGTGGCTCATCAAGCTGGTTTTGGACTGATGGAGATCTTCTGTGAGTTTAGCATCCCATAAACTCTGCTCCCATCACAGCGTATTCGGTATTACACAAATTGTATTGTAAAGGAAAACTTTACAGAGAAAACACAGAGAACACAGAGAAAGATTATTGATTGATTTTGATAGGGCAACATTTTGGTCCACAATATAGAAACAAAGTTATTTGAACAAATTATCATCATTATCATTATTATTATTATTATTATTATTATTATTATTATTACGATTATTATTATTATTATTATTATTATTATTATTATTATTATTATTATTATTATTATTATTATTATTATTATTATTATTATTATTATTATTATTAACATACCATTACTACTTAAGAACGTAGCCTAATATGTGTTTTTTTCAAATAGTGAAGGTACTGGTTCTCTGTTGTCTCATAGCAGCAGGGGGCAGCTCTTCACATCCACAAAGTAAGCCTGGAGGTTTCAATGGTTCAGTCGCACCGAAAGTTGATTGATACAAACAGGTATCTCCGGTTCTGGAGCTTCTCCAAGCGTCCTGATTTGACGTGGAAGTGCTGCTGAAACAGCGATGGGTTGTACCTCTGAACCCATGCTGTCAGTAGGCTAACACTGTCCGCCAGGTGGAGGCTGCCGACAGGACAGCAGATAAATTAGATTATTGGATTGACTGCAACAGATTATAGCTTTCTACGTCCTCGATGCTTCATAAGAAAACCACATCAATCGGATCATATTTCTCGCGGAGTTGTTGGAAATACAAAGGTAAGCATTTTCTTTCTGGCCACCTATTTCTCTTTTCACTTGTCTGTGTTTTTGTGCAAGTGTATGATACTTTCTACTTTAGATTAGGCCTACTGGCAACAAACCAGAGGTCGATATCATGTTAGGTTTCAGTTAACCGAGGCTATTATTGAATATTCTAAACATTTTAAAATGAAGTGTATAAATAAACATAACAAGGAAAAACAGTTTATGTTCTGGCCTGGCTTTCACTATTCAACTCGCTTCATTATAATTAGTGAATAGAAGGGGGCCATCTCCCCAGACATATAGGAGATTAATCCTCCCGAAATTGCCAAATAATCTATTTCAGAATGCAATGAAGAGTAGCGTTTATATTGATCATATTTTATTTTTGCTCAAACTGGTATGAAATGATGTCCTATTAAATTAATATGCCAGCATGACGTGTTTACTGAATCAATAATTCATTTCAACAACTGTATTCGCCACAATTGAGTAAAATAAAAAATCCCATGCTGAGAGTGACATGCCAGTATGCTACTTTAATTCAGTTGTTTTGTTTTACGATGAAACTGTCTTCCATGAAATATAAAAAAAATCTGAAATGTGATGAAATTGTGCCATACAACATGGAACAAGTGCAAGTTCAGGAATCAATGTTATGTGATTCCTGCAGATGATTATTTATCATCAATGAACTGCCTGGTTGTTTTCAATCCCCATGATGATAGTCTGCTCTTTTCTGGGCATCAGTGCACACTGATGGTGTCTGACCTGCGTGAATCGTTACATAACAGCCTCTTGTAGACACTGCCCACAGAAGCCATGTACAGTCAGAGGAATAAAACTCACTGCAGTGCTTCATCATACGATATGTCCAAACGGAAGACTTTAAGAACAGGGAGGCAAACGGATAGTATAATGACGCAGTCAATTAATATTAAATAAAGTTTACATATACATAACATCGTTTCTATTATTTAGGTAAGCAGTGACTAGGGTTGTCAGAATAATCTTGATTGATAATTGGGGCGTTAAAGTGAAAGTGTAGCCCTTGCCCTTTCCTTATTATCATTATGATGTGGCCTTTAATACAAGTAAACACCTGACTGCTCCACTACAGCAGTACTTTAGTGAATGGATTCCCAGATAATTGTGTGTAACTTTACTCAAGGAAAGCCGAAGCAGTGTCCTCCTTTCTAGGGACCCCATCTCCCATTTAATATATGTTTACACAGGGTTCAGTCCAACAAACTCAATAAATTAGGATATGTTATAAAAGTGAGAACTGAAACATGCATTTGCATTCTGCACAATGCTTTTCTCACATCCTCTCTCACAGGATTCTTTTGCATATGTATTTTTCATTCAATGATATTGTCATTTAAGCCCTTCTTTTAATGTGAACACATCAACACCATCTATTCTCTGACATTTAATAATACATTGATGAATTTATATATATGCTGGACTAGAAGGGAGACTGCAATGAAAAAAACACCAGGACAATGCATGGCAGGATGGATTGTTTTAATGTTATTCCAAGTGTGTGAGTGGAAAATTGCAACTTCAAAGTTTGTCACGATGGATGAATAGGAGTTTTTATGTCCAAAAGGGGTGAAAGTCTATTCTAGTATCAGTATTTCATGTAAATGGACACTTACAAACCAGAACAGAATTTGTAGAACAGAATTAACATGCTCGGTCCACAGCAGTGTACAATACTGCTGTTTGTGTAAAGGATGTGCAAGTGTAAGCAGAAAGTCCATGAGAATAGCCAGCAAAGCAGGAATGATGCATTACAATGTGTCAATAATCCACTTGTGAAAGCAGCAGCTGATGGGTTGCAAGTGCAAAAAAGATCCAACAAGTCACTCAGAGGGAAAAAGGTTGACTTACAGTGTCACTGTTTTCATGGAGAGAGGAGATTGACAGATTGTGTTGTGTGGATTTAGACAGAGAGAGAGCGTATAATCCTCTCTAGCAGGGAGGAGAGCAACAGGAAGGTCGGATAATGCAACCGGCAGAGACTTGCAGACCCTGCTCAGCTCCTTTTCTGTTGCCAGGGTTGATAATTAACTGACAACCTAACACAAACCCATGCAGAGTCTCATCCATTCTTTAGATGTTTACTCCTCTGATGATTGAAGAGTTAGTTGTTTTAGATGGTTGCAATATGGAGTAAACAATAGAACCTTAACTTCTAATTTGCTAAATATAAATGTGTATCCACATGTCATGATTTCGGAAGCATACTTACCAGGCCATACTCTAAAAAAGGACCTCTATTACTGAACATGTAGGTTGTTTGGTGTTTTGACAGACATTATAGCAGTGTGCGCCGGTGCAGTAATCACATGACAGGCTGCTTTAACTCAGGGAGCTATAA